CAACATGTGTACTACTGTTTCATGAGAAACTATTTGTTCTGTAAGCCTTCACCTGAAGTACAATAAAAAAAAAAAAAGTGAAAAAAAAAGCAGGCATTTTTAAAGTTTCTGAAAGTTATCATTAATTAATTATTTTATTAGTTTCACAAATATTTATTAAGTTCCTGATCTGGGTCAGGCACTTTGATAATGGCTAGTATTGACGAGAATATCCGTAATAAGCGCATTTGGCTTTCACCTCTAAAGGCTCTATTTCTTGACTCAGAAATCAAGTTTGTGAGCAGGTGCTAGAGGTACATCCATTGATTATTAAATATTTATTGATTATGTAGTCAAAGTGACATTCTGGGACCTCTGAATCTAAGTCATAAGAAGCCTTGTGTCTTCCACATCTGTCTCTTGAAATGCTCACTCTGGGTGAAGGCAGCTACCGTGTAAGAAGTACAGCTACCCTGAAATGGCCATGCTGTGAGGAATAGTGAGGCTGCCTACAGAGACTGATGAGTGGCCAGTCCCAGCTGTATCACTTGTAAGTGAAAATGCCATCTTTACTTGGGAAGCAGGTGTGACATGGAAAAACAACCAAGGAACCTGGCTGATAGCTAGAATTGAGGTCCCTGATTTATAGCCCCTGTTGAGCCATTCCAGCCATTTGCAGCTGTTCAAGCCACCTCATCTGAAGCCTCAGTCACTGTGGAACCGGCCAGATTTCCCCACTATGTCCTACCAGAATTCATAACCCATAATATTGTAAGCATAATTAAATGGTTTGAACTACTAAGTTTTGGGGTAATTTGTTGTGCAGCAACAGACAACCAGCACAGTTACATATTCTTTTTGTGGAATAACCTAGAGTTTACAGTATGCACCGTTGACCAGTTGGCAACTATCTTAAGTTAGTATTTTAACCTTTGCAAAACAATGTAAGAATCTCATAATGGGTTAACTCCATTTATGCCCTTTTCCTCTTTTGTGCTTTTGTTGTCAGATATTTCATTTAAACTTTTGTTTTAAATCTCAGGAGACATTATTGTTCTTGTTTTAAACAGTTAGTATTCATTTTTATTTATCTACATATTTACCCTTTTCAGGACTCTGTATTCTTTCCTGAGTATGTGCTTCTCTATGGTGTTACTTTGCTGCAGCTTGAGGAATTCTCTATAGTATTTCTCTTAGGGCAGGCTTCCTGTGAAAAATTCTTTCAGCTTTTGTTTGTCTGAAAACATCTTTATATCATTTTTATATTCAAATAATATTATCACCATGTGTAGAAATCTAGGTTGGCATGTTGTTGTTTCTCTGAACACCTTGAAGATGTCATTCCATTCTGTTCTGGCTTCCATAGTTTCTATTGAAAAGTCAAGCATAAGTTTTACTCTTTCTACTGATAAACACAAATTTATTATCTTATAATTCTAGAGGTTAAAAGTTCAAAATGGTCTCACTGGGTTAGTATCAAGGTGTCAACAGGGCTGTGTTCTTTCTGGAGGCTTGTATTAGTTTCCTAGGGCTGCCATAACAAAGTATCACAGTGGTTGGCTTGTTAGAACAGAAATTTATTGTTTCACAGTTCTGGAGGCTACTAGTCTGACGTGGGGTGTTGACAGGACCGTGTTCTCTCCAAAGGCTCTAGGGGGTGATCCTTTCTTGTCTCTACTGGCTTCTGCTAGTCCGAGGCATTCCTTGGCTTACAGCTGCAGCATAACCCTGTTGTCACATGACCATTTTTTCTGTCTTTCTGTGTCTCTTTTCCTCTTTCACAGTATACTACTCAAATTGGATTCAGACCCACCCTACTCTGGTATGACCTCATATTATCTTAATTGATAATGTCTTGAAAGACACTATTTCCAAACAAGGTCATGTCCACAGGTACCAGGGGTTATGACTTCAACGTGAATTTTTTTGGAACATAATTCAATCCACAACAAGGCTTTAGGGAAGAATCCATTTTCTTGCCTTTTCCAGCAATAGCCTGTCAAGTCTTTTTCATATCACATCACTCTGACACTGACTCTCTTGCCTCCGTCTTTTACTTATAAGGATCTTTGTGATTACCTTGGGACCAATGGGATGATCCAGGATAATCTCCTCCATCTCAAGGTTGATTTCCAACCTTAATTTCATATGCAATCTTAATTCCCCCTTGCCATGTAACATAACATATTCACAGATACCAGAAACATCTTTTGGGGGGGCCATCATTATGCCTATCATACCACTAAATCTTACATTTGGTTGTAGAGAAATGGGAGAGGAAAAAAAGAAAGGAAAATAATTGGTTAATATTTATATGAAATACATAGAAGAAATACTTATAAATACTACTTGTTTCTGCAACTAATTATGGGGTTGTAGCTGGTATTTATAATTTTATTTTTCCACTACCCATTCTATATCCCTTTTTTCCTTAGCAAGCAACTCAGCTGGTCATGGTTCCTTGCCTGGGTAGGGTGAACCAAACCTTCATTCGTAAAAGGTCTAGGCCTTTAGCAGTTCTGCCTATACTGAGTTGCTGTAATTTTCCATTAACTTCTTTTTTACAGAACATGGAATTACTAAGAGGCACCTCAGAAGATATCCTGAGTTCCAGACATACTCCTCGCTACCCTCATTGGTAGTAACAACCGGTTTTCTCCTTGATAGTCAAAATCAATCACCCCAGCCGGTGTAATAACTGCCTTGTTTTGCCTGGTGGTTCACTGGCATGAGGAGCCCAAAATGGTCAGGTTGTAGTATCAGCTTCCATTTTAATGGAACTATTAGCATGTACCTTGGTGGAAACATTCCTCAAATGGGAACTAAGACCTTTCTATCAACAAAGCCCAAAGTTACAAAGACAGGAAGTAAAAATTTTGTTAGTGGATAATTAGAGGTAATATAATAAGAAAGCCACTTCCATTTCCATTCCTTGATTCCCAGATTCATAAATGCTGGCTGTGGGAAAAACAGCACCATATACTACGTATACACTATAATTGAGTCTTTAAATGCCATTTCACTATTCTTTCAGGACAACTGCTTTAGGGTAATGGAGAACAAGGTAAGGTTAGTGAATTTCATGAGCATGGACCCATTTCTGTACTTCACTTTCTGTGAACTAAGTTCCCTGGTCAGAAGCAGTGCTGTGTGGGATATCATGACAGTGAATAAAGCATTCTGAAAGTACACAGTGGTTTTTGTAGAAGCATTGTACACATAGAAGGGTAAAGTGTCAATTCTAGTGAGAACAAAAGTGTTGCTTCTCCTGTAATAGAAGTGTTCCAAATAATCCATCTGTCCAAAGAAACTGACTAGCTCTCCCTGCGTGCCACCTTCCCCCCCACCACCCCACCCCCTCCCGCCTGGAATGTCGCCACATCAGGGATTCAGTGTTAGTTTAAACGTAAAATCTGCTCTGGCAAATTGGGCACTCAGCAGTGGCAGTAACCAGATATGGTGAGTGGAGATCCAGCCTCCATTCCTGCTACCATGGCTACTTTGTTCATGGGCCCATTGGGCAAGGAGAGAGATGGCTGGGCGAAAAGGCTGGATGGCTCCAAAGAATGAGTCATCTTGCCCATCTGATTGTTAAGATTCTCCTCTGCTGAGATTGTTCTTTGATGAGAATTCGCATGGGACACAAATATCTTAACACTTGGTGCCCATTTGGAGAGATCTGTCCACATACTTCTTCCCCAGACCTCTTGTCACCAGTTTTCTAGCCATTTTCTTTCCAAGTCCTTGACCATCCAGCCAAACCATCAATCGCTGCCCATCTGTAGATATGTACCTCTGGACATATTTCCTGTCAGGCACAACATATTGCTAGATGTGCTGCTTGAGAAAGAGCCCTGGTGGCGCAGTGGTTGAGTGCTCAGCTGCTGACCGAAAGGTCAGCAGTTCAAACCCACCAGCTGCTCTACAGGAGGAAGATGTGGCAGTCTGCTCTCATAAAGATTACAGCCTTGGAAACCCTATGGGGCAGTTCTACTCCGTCCTATAGGGTCACTATGAGTCAAAATCAACTTGACAGCAACGGGTTACAGGTGCTGCTTGAGGTCTGCCCACTGGAAGGATTTTTCTTCACCACTGTCCCTCAGGCCTGCCCCTGAGTGAAATTGTGGTATGTATGGAACTTTCTTATGGGTCAACTTTGTTCTTGACCTTTTGAGGACTGCTTGGACTTAAATTTGACCAGTAGAATGTGGAATAAGTGATCTGCGTGATTTCTGAGACAAGGCCTTAAGAAATATTGGAACTTCCATTTCATTTGTCTTGGAACTCTGAAACCTCTATGCTGTGAAGAAGCTCAAGCTGAAAGACTATATGGAGAGAGAGGACCAACTAACTTAAACGTTCCAATAATCAAGCTGAAGTCCCAGATAGGTGCATGAGGCCATATTAAAGCACCAGCTCCACCTGATGTAGCAGCTGACTACAGTCACATAAATGAGTCCAGGCAAGACGAGCAAAACTGCCCTGTCAACCCATGGAAAGTGAGAAATAATAAATGATTGTTGCTTTAAGCCACTAAATTTTGGGGTGGTTGGTTGTGCATCAGTAGGTAGCTGATAAAGTAACTGACATATTTAAATCTTCAGATTCACAACCGTCATAAATTTTTCTTGGTACTCAAATTGGGCTTTTTCTTGGGGGAAATACATCTTCCTTTCAAAAAGAATACTGTTTGTGTTGAAGCAGGCTGCACTATCTTCCATAGGTTATTGCAGTGGTCCTTCAATTTGTCATATTGGTCTTATAGATTACTTCATCTGAATTTATTTTCTATGAGCTAACATAAGCAAACTGGGAAAAAAAAGGTTTGCCAAGAGTTATTAAGGTTTTTTTTTTTTTTTTTTTTTTTTTGAGGGGTAGGGTGGGTTTCTCAAGAGAAAGTCTGCTTCTGTAAAGATTACAACCTTGGAAACTCCATGGGGCAGTTCTGCCCTGTCATAGGGTTGCTATGCGTCGGAATTGACTCGATGGCAATAGGTTTTTTGGTTTGGAGAGTGGGTTTTGAGGTGGGAGGGAAAGGATTACCAAATAAATAATTGTTAAAAATAAAAGAATTGTTTGGGATTATTTGGCCAAATTTGTGCTAATGTGAAAAATGGATAGAGTTTGTGAATCAGTGGAATTACTACAGGACTGAGGAGGATGCTGTAATGAAAACAATAGATAATATTTATTAAGGGCTTTCTTGTTCCAACTGCTGTTCTAAGTGCTTTACAAATATTAACTCATTTATTCCTCATGATAGCTCTATGAGATAGCTACAGTCACTCCCATTTTACTGATGAGAAAACTGATCATAGGTTAAGCAACTTGCTACCCTTCTATATGCACAATGCTTCTACAAAAACCACTGTCTGTGTATTTTCATAACGCTTTATTTACTGCTAGTAAGTGCTAACATTTGAATCCAAACAATGTTATGCCATACTTAGTGTTCTTAACCACTATGCTGTATTTTCTCTTTTTCTCAGATTACTCTGGAGAGTATATGCAACCAAAGTTCTGGATATTTTAGGTGTAGTTGATAGTGATACAATTATAAACTTAAGGGTAAACCTCTTCATGGGAACAATACCAATATTACTTGACTTGTCAAAGCAAACCCTGAGTGGATATTATTTCTAAAATTGGTTTACATACATAAAATCTATTTTATGGTTTTTATTTATCTTTGCTCTACTTAAGCAAAACACTAATCAGAACTAGAAAAATCCAGTTTTGACAATAAAGTATTATGTGTTTGAACCTCTAGGATATTGCTGTATACCAACACTTTAAAAGTATGATTAATATAAGAAGACAAGGGGAACCACGTCAAATAGTGAGATATATTAATCCTAAAGAGGTAAGGGCATAATTTATTGATAAGAGTATTTTTTTTCCTTAAATATGTGTGGCTATTTTATCAATTCACTGTGCTCATATTTGTTTTTTTAAAAAAACTTTTTATTTAAGTATTACATGTATAAAAGTTTATAAAACATAAATGTATAGTCCAGTGAATTACCAAAAAGCAAACACCTGTGTAACCATCACTCAGATAAATCTTTCATATGCCAAACCGCTCCCTTCATGTGCCCTATAAATCACAGCCAACGCCCTCCGTCCAAAAGATAATCACTGTCTTGAATTCTAACATTTTACTTTACTTATATGTTTTTGAAGTATATACAAATAGACTCCTGTAGTATGTTTTTGTGTCTAGCTTTGTTTATTCAACATTATGTTTGTGTAGCTCAGTTTCATTCATTTTTATTAATAGACAGTGTTCCATTGTATGAATATATTACTGTTTATTCATTCAGTCATGCCACGTCAGCAGAACCTGTACATAGACCAAGAAGCAGTCATTCAAACAGAGCAAGGGGATACTGTATGGTTTAAAATCAAGAAAGGTGCTCACAGCAGTTTTTTTCATAATAGCCCTAAACTAAAGACAACTCAAATACATATCATAATAGAATTAATAAATAGTGTACTCAAAAATAAATAAATTTTGTACTCAAAATACTACCTTGAGTATATCCCACCTGAATTTAGAGACCATCTCAAGAATAGATTTGATGCATTGAACACTAATGACCGAAGACCAGATGAGTTGTGGAATGATGTCAAGAGCATCATACTTGAAGAAAGCAAGAGGTCATTAAAAAGACAGGAAAGAAAGAAAAGAGCAAAATGGATGTCAGAATAGACTATGAAACTTGCTCTTGTATGTAGAGTAGCTAAAGAGAATGTAAGCAATGATGAAGCAAAAGAGCTGAACAGAAGATTTCTAAGAGTCGCTCCAGAAGACAAAGAAAGTATTATAATGAAATGTGCAAAGACCTGGAATTAGAAAACCAAGAGGGAAGAACGTGCTCGGCATTTCTCAAGCTGAAAGAACTGAAGAAAATCTTCAAGCTTCGAGTGGAAATATTGAAGGAGTCTATGGGCAAAATATTGAATGATGCAGGAAGCATCAAAAGAACATGGAAGGAATACACACAGTCGCTGTACAAAAAAGAATTGGTCAACATTCAGTCATTTCAGGAAGTAGCATATGATCAAGAACCAATGGTACTGAAGGAAGAAGTCCAAGCTGCACTGAAGTCACTGGTGAAAAACAAGGCTGCAGGAATTGACGATTGAAACAATTGAGATGTTTCAACAAATGGATGCAACACTGGAAGTGCTCACTCATCTATGCCAAGAAATCTGGAAGACAGCTACCTGGCCAATAGAATAGAATAGATGCCTATTTGTGCCCATTCCTAAGAAAGGTGATCCAACAGAATGCGGAAATTATCGAACAATATCATTAATATCACACACAAGTAAAATTTTGCTGGAGATCATTCAAGAGCGGTTGTAGCAGTACATCAACAGGGAACTTCCAGAAATTCAGGCTGGTTTCCGAAGAAGACGTGGAATGAGGGATATCATTGCTGATGTCAGATAGATGCTGGCTGAAAGCAGAGAATACCAGAAAGATATTTACCTGTGTTTTATTGACTATGCAAAGGCATTCAACTGTGTGGAATATAACAAATTATGATAACATTGCAAAGAATGGGAATTCCAGAACACTTAATTGTGCTCACGAGGCACTGTACATAGACCAAGAGGCAGTTGTTTGAACAGAACAAGGGGATACTGAGTGGATTAAAATCAGGAAAGGTGTGCATCAGGGTTTTTACTTCACCTAGAACTGCAGTTGCTGAGAAGGTGGGATATCTTTAACTCTAGGAGATAATGCCAAACTATTTTCCAAAGGTATTGTACTAATTTATATTCCCACCAGTAATCTTTGGGAATTCTTGGTATTCTACAACCTCACTGACACTTACTACTGTCAGTTTTAAAATTTGCATTTCCCTGATTACTAATGAGTTGAGCCCTTTTGTAAAGTGCTTGTTCAAGTCTGTTATCTTTATGTGTGCGTGTGTGTTGGCATGTGTATGTGTATGTGTATTGTCTGTGTTATTCTTATTGGCTTTTAGCTGTCCTTTATATATTCTGTATATAAGCCCTTTAGTTTTTATTATGGAAAATTTCAAACATATTCAAAAGTGGAAAGAATAGAGTAACAAGTCACCATGTACCCATCACCTAGTTCCAACAATTAGCATTTCAAGGCCAATCTCTTTTCATCTATACCTTCAGCCACTTTCCCCAAACCCTACATTACTTTGTAGCAGATTAAGGATGTCTTTTGATGAACAGAATTCTTAATTTTAAGGTAGTACAATTTATTAGTTTTTTTTTTTTCCTGTATGGTTGATGCTTTTTTATGACCTTTCCCGAATTCAAGTTCATTAAAATATTATTATATTATGTTGTATTAGCTTTATTGATTTTCCTTTCATACGTAGACCTAGAGTCTACTTGGGATTGAGTCTATGTGTGGTGTGAGGTCAATTTTCATATTATTACATTGATATCCAATTGATTAAATACTATTGATTTAAAAGATGGTTCTTTCCCTATTGCTCTGCAGTGCCACCTTTATCATAAATCAGGTGAGCATTTATGTGTGGGTCTATTTAAGTTTACATCATACAAACTTTAATCAAAAGAAATCTGGTGTTATTTTAATATCAGACAAATCAGGCTTTAAAGCAAGAAGTATTGTGAGAAATTGTGACATTTTATAATGATAAAAGAGTCAGTTCAACAGGAAAAGATAGCAATTCTAAATAGGTAAAGCAAAAATGATATAAGTACTAGAAGAAATATAGGTCTTCAGTAATACTCAGAGATTTTTAACATACCTTTCTTAGTAATTGATAGAAACAAGCAGGCAAAAGTAATTAGTAAGGATATAAAATATTTTAACATCTTGACCTAATTGGCATATATAGAACACCACAACCAACACTGGAAAATGTTTGAAGTGCTACATAACTAATGTCTTTACATTAAGTGCACATAAAAAGTTTACCAAAATAAACCATATGCGGAGACTTAAAGTAAGTCACAACAAATTTCAAAGGGTTGAAACCATAGAGAATGTTCTCTAATCCCAGTTTAATTAAACTAGAAATTAATAAGAGTAAAAGAACTAGAAAATCACCAAATATCTGAGAATTAAGCAACATGATGTTAAATAACCAATGGGTTAAAAAAGAAATCACTATGAAAATTAGAAAATATTTTTAACTGAGTGATAATAAAATTATACATATCAAAGCTTGTGAAATGCAGCTAAAGTAGAGCTCAGAGGGAAATGAAGGTTGAAAATCTATTCACTAAGCTTCTACCTCAAGCATCTAGAAAAAGATAAGTAAGTGAAAACCAAAGACAGTAAAAAGAAGGAAATAGTAAAGACAAAATCAGAAATCAATGAATAAAAATAGAAGTTAAATACAGAAAATCAGCAAAGCCAGTTGGTTCTTTGAATAGAGTAGTAAAATTCATAAATCCCTATCAAAACTGATATATCCAAATGACTGATAAGTATATGAAAAGGTACTCAATTTTCATCAAGTTATCAAGGAAATGATAATTAAAACCACAGTGAGCTACCATTACACCCTTACCAGAATGTCTAAAGGATTGACAATAGCAAATTTTGGTAAAATGTGGCACAACCAGAATTCTCATATATTGCTTGTAAAATGGTACAGAAACCTTCAGAAAACTCTTTGGTAGGATGTAGTACAGTTAATCATACTACAACCCACCAGAAGACATATATAAATCTATTGCATAGAAAAGAAATATAGTTTGGTATGAGTTTTCCAGTTATCAAATAAGCTGTGTACTTAATGGGTGTCCATAAAATATTAACTCTTTAGGTCTTTTTTTTTTCTTAATAAATATTTTATTTTGTTTTAGGTGAAAGTTTGCCTAGCAAATTAGGTTCCCATTTAACAATTTTATACGAATTTTTCCATGACATTGATTACAATTTTCACAATGTGTTAGCGTTCTCATTATTTCCATTCTGTTTGTTCTGTTTCCATTGATCTATCTTTCCTGCCCCTCCTTGCCTTCTCATCTTTGCTTTTTGATAAATGTTGACTGTTTGGTCTCATATAGTTGTTTGTTTAAAGGAGTAGCACATTACTTATGGGTGATATTGTTTGTTTTATAACCAAAAAAAAAACCAAACGCCTTGCCATCCGGTCGTTTCCAATTCATAGTGACCCTATAGGACAGAGTAGAACTGACCCATAAGGTTCCAAGGAGCGGCTGGTGGATTCAAACTTCCAGCCTTTTGATTAGCAGCCATAGCTCTTAACTACTACACCACCAGGGCTCCATTTATTGTAGAAACAAATGTATGATTTGGCTGAAAGGTGACCGCTGGGAGTGGCTTTAGTTCCAAGTTCAAGGGATATCTTAGGGCAGTAGTCTCAGGGGTTCTTCTAGTATCTATTGGTCCAGTAAGTCTGGACCTTTTTTAGGAATTTGAGTTTTGTTCTACATTTTTTATACTGTGTCCCTGGTCACATTGGTCAGTAGTGGTAGCCGAGCACTTTCTAGTTCTTCGGTTCTTAAGACTAGGAGAGTCCGTGGTTCATGTTGGCTGTTATTCCTGTGGAATAGTTTCTTCTTTGTGTCTTTGGTTTCCTTCATTCTCTTTTGTTCCAGATGAGTAGAGAACTAATAGTTTTATCTTAGATGGCTGCTTGCAAGCTTTTAAGACTCCAGATGCTATTCAAACAAACTAGGATGTAGAACATTATCTTATGAACTATGTTATGCCAATTGACTGAGTTGTCCCATGAGACTATGGTCCTAAGCCTTTTAACCCAGTAAGCCAACCTCACAGGGTGTTTGGATATGTCTAGGAAATCTCTGGTACTGTGCCCCTGATGTGCTGTATTATATATATGAATATTTATGCAGCATACGCAAACATGTATATACACATGCCTACAGATACACCTATACATGCACACGCATGTACTCACATAAGCTGTCCTATACACACACACACACACACATACATATATATATATATATATATACATACCACCATTCATCTGTCAGTTTGTTTACTGTGATGGCTTGCATGTTGCTGTGATGCTGGAAGCTATGCCACCAGTATTTCAAATACCAGCAGGGTCATCAGTGGTGGACAGGTTTCAGCGGAGCTTCCAGACTAAGACTAAGTAGAAAGACCTGGCAATCTATTTCCAAAAAAAAAAAAAATTTTGGCCAGTGAAAATCTTATGAATAACAGCGGAACATTGTCTGATATGGTGCCGGAAGAGGAGCCCCTCAGGTTGGAAGGCACTCAAAATATGACTGTGAAAGAGCTGCCTCCTCAAAGTAGAGTCAATTTTAATAACGTGGATGGAGTAAAGCTTTCGGAACCTTCATTTGCTGATGTGGCAAGACTCAAAATGAGAAGAAACAACTGCAAACATCCATTGATAATCAGAACATGAAATGTATGAAGTATGAATCTAGGAAAATTGGAAGTCGTCAAAAATGAAATAGAATGCGTAAATGTCAATATCCTAGGCATTAGTCAACTGAAATGGACTGGTATTGGCCATTTTGAATCAGGCAATCATATGGCCTACTATACCAGAAATAACAAATTGAATAATTTGAATAACAAATTGAATAACAAAAAATGGTGTTGCATTCATCATCAAAAAGAATATTTCAAGATCTGTCCTGAAGTACAACACTGTCAGTGATAGGATATTGAAGGATTTTAAAATATCCGTATGCTTGCAAGGAAGACCAGTTAATAGGACTGTTATGCAAATTTGCACACCAATCCCTAATGCCAAAGATGAAGAAATTGAAGATTTTTACCAACTTCTGCAGTCTGAAATTGATCAAACATGCAATCAAGATGCATTGATAATTACGGGTGTTTGGAACGCAAAAGTTGGAAACAAAGAAAAAGGATCAGTAGTTGGAAAATATGGCCTTGATGATAGAAATGATGCTGGAGATCTCATGATAGAATTTTGTAAGGCCGGTGACTTATTCTTTTACAAATACCTTTTTTTCAGCAACATAAACAGCAATTATACATATGGACCTCGCCAGATGGAATACACAGGAATCAGATCAACTATATCAGTGGTAAGAGTCGATGGAGAAGCTCAATATCATCAGTCGGAACAAGGCCAGGGGCTGACTGCAGAACAGACCATCAATTGCTCATATGCAAGTTCAAGTTGAAGCTGAGGAAAATTAAAACAAGTCCACAAGAGCCAAATTACAACCTTGAATAGATCCCATCTGAATTTAGAGACCATCTCAAGAATATATTTGACACATTGAACACTAATGACTAAAGACCAGACGAGTTGTGGGATGGCATCAAGGACATCATATATGAAGAAAGCAAAAAGTCATTAAAAAGACAGGAAAGAAAGAAATGGATGTCAGAAGAGACTGAAACTTGCTCTTGAACATAGAGCAGCTAAAGCAAAAGAAAGAAATGATGAAGTACAAGAGTTGAACAGAAGATTTCAAAGTGCAGCTCAAGAACACAAAGTAAAGTATTATAATGAAATGTGCAAAGACCAGGAGTTAGAAAACCAAAAGGGAAGAACATGCTCAGCATTTCTCAAGATGAAAGAACTGAAGAAAAAATTCAAGCCTTGAGTAGAAATATTGAAGGATTCTATGGGGAAAATATTGAATGATGCAGAAAGCATCAAAAGAAGATGGAAGGAATACACAGAATCACTGTACCAAAAAGAATTGGATGTCATTCAGCCATTTCAGGAGGCAGCATATAATCAGGAATCTATGGTATTGAAGGAAGAAGTTCAAGCTGCACTGAAGGCATTGGCGAAAAACAAGGCTCCAGGAATTGATGGAATACCGATTGAGATGTTTCAACAAATGGATGCAATACTGGCAGTGCTCACTCATCTATGCCAAGAAATTTGGAAGACAGCTATCTGGCCAACTGACTGGAAGAGATCCATATTTGTGCCCATTCCAAAGAAAGGTGATCCTAACAGAATGCTGAAATTATCGAACAATACCATTAATGTCACACGCAAGTAAAATTTTGCTGAAGATCATTCAAAAGCGGTTGCAGCTGTACATCAACATGGAACTGCCAGAAATTCAAGCTGGATTCAGAAGAGGATGTAGAATGAGGGATATCACTGCTGATGTCAAATGGATCTTGGCTGAAAGCAAAGAATACAAGAAAAATGTTTGCTTTGTTTTATTGACTACGCAAAGGCATTCGACTGTGTGGATCACAACAAATTATGGATAACATTGTGAAGAATGGGTATTGCAGAACACTTAATTGTGTTCATGAGGAGCCTGTACATACACCAAGAGGCAGTCATTCAAACAGAACAAGGGGATACTGTGTGGTTTAAAATCAGGAAAGGTGTGCATCAGGGTTATAGCCTTTCACCATATTTATTCAATCTGTATGCTGAGCAAATAATCCGAGAAGCTGGACTATATAAAGAAGAACGTGGCATCAGGATTAGAGGAAGACTCATTAGCAGCCTGCGATATGCAGATGACACAACCTGGCTTGCTGAAAATGAAGAGGACTTGAAGCACTTACTGATGAAGATTGAAGACTATAGCCTTCAGTATGGATTACTCCTCAACATAAAGAAAACAAAAATCCTCACAATTGGACTAATAAGCAACATTATGAAAAATGAATAAAATATTGAAGTTGTGAAGGATTTCATTTTACTTGGATCCACAATCAATGCCCATGGAAGGAGCAATCAGGAAATCAAACAATGTATTTATTGCATTGGGCAAACCAATCCATGGTGTTTTTAATCACCTAATGCATGGAAAAGGTGGACAGTGAATAAGGAAGACCAAAGAAGAATTGATGCCTTTGAATTATGGTGTTGGCAAAGAATACTGAATATACCATGGACTGCTAGAAGAATGAACTGATCTGTCTTGGAAGAAGTATGGCCAGAATGCTCCTTAGATGGATTGAAACAGTGGCTGCAACAGTGGGCTCAAATATAGCAACAATTGTGAGGATGGCGCAGGACCAGGCAGTGTTTTGTTTTGTTGTACATAGGATCACTATGAATCAGAACCAACTCAATGGCACCTAAGAACAACATACCTGTGTAACCACACTCATATTTTTTGGTTGTTATTACTGTTGTTGAAAAATTATATATATTATAGCATTTACCAAAATTGTTCCTTATTCTTGTCCAGTTCTTGTCTTCATTTGCCTTAGTCAAGTTGTGCAGACTTCACCCATGTTGGATATTCCTTTTCCCGTGACCAAAAATAAGAAGTGTCTGCTATCTAGAAAGTGGTTCCCCTTCCCCTCCCCTCCCTGGTGACCATCAAAAAACATTGCTTTCTGTGTGTATACTTGTTCTTGACTTTTTATAAAACTGAGAACGTGCAATATTTGTCCTTTTGTGATTGACTTATTTCACTCAGCCTAATGTCCTCCATGTTATGTTTTGTGAACTCTTCATTATTCTTTATAGTTGCATAGTATTCCATTGTATGTATATACCAAAATTTGTTTATCCATTCATCCGCTGATGGGCACTTAGGTTGTTTCCATCTTTTTGCTATTGTGAATAATTCTGAAAGGAACATAAGTGTGCATATGTCTCTTATGTCTGTTCATGTCACTGCTCCTATATGTCTAGGGTATCTACCTAAGAGTGGGATTTCTGAATCATAAGATATTTCTACTATAGCTTTTTGAGGAGGTGCTATAGCATTTTCCATAGTGGTTGTACCATTTTACAATTCCACCAGCAGTGTGTGAGTTCCAGTCTCTTCACAATCTTGCCAGCATTTGTTGTTTACTGTTTTTTTGATCAGGGTCATTTTTGCAGGAGTGAGGTGGTATCTCGTTGTAGTTTTAATTTGTGTCTCTCTAATGGCTAATGATTGTGAGTATCTTTTCATGTGTTTGTTAGTAGCCTGAATGTCCTCTTTGATGAAAGTCCTTAGGTCTTAAAATATTCTGTAATTTAAAATGAATTACATGAGGTCTATTCAGTCAACCTATTTCATAAATAGTCAATAGTAAGAAATTACGTTAAAATAATAGAGTGAGAAGTGAACTGATATTACAGAATATTGAAGAATAATTTACTTTTCTTATAGGCGGATCTTTTAGATGCTGCTGCTGGCATTATTGTACGATTCAGATTAGGTGGAGTAAGTATGGATGAATTCTTATTTAGTAGTTTTAAAGCACGTTTATACAAAATTTGAAAGATATAATTTTTAAAATGTAAAACATTTTTATAATTAGAGTACATCTGTATTTTGACCTCTTCTACCTACAGGTTAAATTTCCACCCAGTATATACTATAAAATTTTCACTCACAGACATATTGAAGATCTGTGTGCTAACAGCCCTAGAGATTACACAAAACTTCCACCAAAACATACGTCTCATATTAAAGGTGATGATCTCCAGGAAGATGACCATAGTGGCTGGTATCGTCGTATAGAGAACAATGGCTGGAGACCTGTTTCTGATAGAGTAAGAAAAGAGAATATTAATAGTTTTGAATCTTATATATTTAGAGAAACATTTGTCTTTTTGAAAATTAATTTTAAAGTTATTTTTTAAAAATAATAAATCCTAGAAATTTAAATGACAAATTTTGTTTAACTACTCTGGGATAACTAATAATACTTAAAGTACAGCAATTTATCTTTTTTTCTTAAATTTACTTCTACTTTTATTAATCAACCTTGAATCTAGACTATCTTTAGGTACCCTAGATTGGAAGACATTGTTGACTCTATATTATTCCTTGAACCAGAGGGGGCAGTTCTTGAGAACAATATGATATTTTTCTCTTATAGAGTTTATAATAACAGAGACTAGCGGAAAATCATTTGGTTTTTCATGGTGTTGGGGAACTTAATATATACTCATGTGAAATGCACAGAATGATTAAGTACACCCAGTTACTGATGGGTTGGGGTCCCTAGGTGTGCAAACGATCAACATGCTTGGCTGCTACCCAAAAGGTTGGAGGTTTGAGTCCACCCAGAGGTACCTTGGAGGAAAGACCTAGCAATCTACTTCTGAAAAAATCCGCCATTGAAAACCATATGGAACACAGTTCTACTCTGACATGGCATCTCCATGAGTCATAATCAACTTGAAGGCAACTTGTACTGGTTTACTAATGGGTATATATGTAATTCAGAGACTTTTCTATAGACACCCAAGTTTAATCTCCTTTTGGTAGAGATCATTTCTACCAAGAGCTATTTATAAGCTTATATTTTATAGGTTAACAAAATCTAGTTCTACAGCCCTAGAAGTCTTTTTATATTATCTCAAATATCTTAACTCAAATTCTCAACCTCTAGTATACAGTTGGTAGAATGTGGTATGTAGAATATACTAAGTATGAAAAGCAAAAATGATAAAGGTGTGAATTCATTCATTCAACAAACTTTATTGCATACCAACCATGTGTCAGGCATTGTACTAGATCCTAGGGGTACGATGATAAACAAGATGTAGTCCCTCCTCTTGAGTAGTTTAATTGGAGAGAAAGTCAAGTAAGCAGAATATTTTGGTACAGTGCAGTAAATGTGCTAAGTGCTTTAATAGGGACAAATATATAATGCTGTGGGGGTACATAGGGGGTGCATTTAATTCTGTCCTAGGAATTCAGGGAGAGATGCTGAAGGAACTGATATCTAAGTTGACACCAAAGGACTAATAGTAGTTAGCTTGATTAAAAGGGTGAGAAAAGGCATTCTAGGCAGGTGAAATAGTGTGTCTAAAGACCCAGCTGCAGAAGAGACCATATATATATATATAAAATGAATATATGTGTATTCATATATGTATATATATATACACACATCACACATATATGTATGTTTATAATGAATATAGCTGGAGCAAAAGGTGTAAGGTTGTGAGAGGAAAGAGATTAGGCTGCAGGGTTAAGCAGTGGCCGGATCACGAAGGGCCTTACGAAATTCTGCAAGAGAAAGGAATTCTATCCTGTAGTCTTACTGATATATAGTGATATTTGTGTTCCCTGAGTTGATACTAGTTTGTTCATTAAATTCTGGGTTTGTTAATGTTAGAGAAACCCCTACATCTAGAATTAGAAAAGAAAAATCCTTTCAGAGCTTGGATTACAAACTATACTTCTCAGTAAGAATGAAGTGTTTGGGGAATCTGTGTAGAGAAAAGAAGAATCAGACCAGCTGCCATGATAGGAAGGTTGGTTCCAAGTATAAAGGACCCCAGTGTAGATTAGAAAGTGCCACTGGTGTCAGAATGGGAAGTCCATAATTTATTAATTAGAATAGGTTCAGCTGAACAAACTTCTATAATAATAGTTGCTTAAACTAAACTTTTCAGTTATGTAGAAGTCTGAAGCTGCATGGTCCAGGGCTGGCATGGTACTTCATGGTGTTCAGGGGCTCAACCTATCTTCCATTCCCAAGGTCATGTGTGATGACCTTGGCTGCTCCACCTGTAGCCATTATAATCACATTCCTGCCAGCAAGAAGGAAGCAGTTAAACTTAAATACACCTACCAATGAGGGAGGCTAGGAAATATCTTTATTGCAAGCACCCATGTGCTCAGCTGAAAAAGGGGATTCTGTTACGGAAACAGGGGAGAACAGATATTGGGGGAAAATAGCAGTCTCTGTTACATATTCCAATTCCATTTTGCCACTAGCCCTTCTGCATGCCCAGGCAAGGCCAGAGAACTTCCTATATAGAGGACCATCAGTAATTACAAGCAATATTCTCTTGAAATAAGTGGCATTCTGCTAGTCCCAGGATTGCTGCTAGCTTATAGGGCACCTTTGTGAAAATTAGAAAAAGGCAGCCTTCCAGATGGACCAATTAGGAAAAAATACCCTCTCTAGGCAAGTTACAAAGAGGTGCTTTTTCTGGGTGGACACAATTCTTTGGAAATATTGCTTGATAACAGGACTGCACTTTTTTAAAAAAATTGTAGTTTAGATGAAGGTTTATGGAACATATTAGTTTCTCATTAAACAATACACATACTGTTTTGCGACATTGGTTGCCAACCCCACAACATGTCAGCACTCTCCGCATCTTGACTTTGGATTCCCGTTACCAGCTTTCCTGCCCCCTCTTGCCTTCTCATCCTTGCCCTGGGCTGGTGTACCCCTTTAGTCTCGTTTTGTTTTATGGATCTGTCTAATCTTTGGCTGAAGGGTGAACCTCAGAAGTGATTTCAGGACTGAGTTAAAAGGATGTCTGGAGGCCATACTCTCAGGATTTCTTGAGTCTCTGTCAGACTAGTAAGTCTGGTCTTTTTTTCTGAGTTACAATTTCAGTCTACATTTTTCTCCAGCTCTGACCAGGACCTTCTATTATGATCCCTGTCAGAGCAGTTGGTGGTGGTAGCTGGGCACCATCTAGTTGTGCTGGACAGTTTGGTGGAAGCTGTGGTAGTTGTAGAGAGGACAGCACTTTTGTGTGAAGAAAAAAAAAATACTCCTTGCTCACTTCCTCCTTTGCTCAGTCTTTTGCACTAGCTTGATGTTACCTAAAATATCTTTAAAGGGAGGCACAGTTAGAGATTAAAAGGTTATTGTTGTTAGGTTCTGTCCAGTAGGTTCTGACTCAAAGCAACCCTATGTACAACAGAACAAAACACTGCTTGGTCCTGCGCCATCCTCACAATCATTGCTATGTTTGAGCCAATTGTTGCAGCTGCTGTGTCAATCCATCTCATCGAGAGTCTTCCCCTTTTTTCCTGACCCACTACTTTACCAAGCATGATGTCCTTCTCAGGGACTGGTCCCTCCTGATAACGTGTCCTAAGTACGTAAGACAAAGTCTCACCATCCTCTCTTCTAAGGAGGATTCTGACCGCACTTCTTCCGAGACAGATATGTTCATTCTGGCAGTCCCTAGTATATTCAATATTCTTCACCAACGCCATAGTTCAAAGGCATCAGTTCTTCTTTGGTCTTCCTTATTCATTGTCCAGCTTTCGCATGCATATGAGGCAATTGAAAATACCATGTCCAGGTCCTTCTTCCTAGTCTGTCTTAATCTGGAAGATCCACTGAAACCTATCCACCATGGGTGACCCTGATGGTATTTGAAATACTGGTGGCATAGCTTCCAGCATCACAGCAACACGCAAGCCACCACAGTACAACAAACTGACAGACAAGTGGTGGATTAAAAGTTAAAATGTAAATGATAGAGTTTTACGTGTATCCCAATTTATCATTTCTTCTTAATTTGTTCTCCCTCCTCATCAAGAATTCCAGCTATTTATGTTATTATACCTGAGTTTTCCCTCACGTCTCTGTCAGTTTGTCTTACTGTGGGGGCTTGCGTGTTGCTGTGATGCTGGAAGCTATGCCACCAGTATTTCAAATACCAGCAGGGTCACTCAAGGTGGACAGGTTCCAGCTGATCTTCCAGACTAAGACAGACTAGGAAGAAGGACCCAGCAGTCTACTTCTGAAAAGAATTAGCCACTGGAAACCTTATGAATAGCAGCGGAACATTGTGTGATATAGTGCCGGAAGATGAGCCCCCCAGGTTGGAGGGCACTCAAAAGACAACTGGGGAAGAGCTGCCTCCTCAAAGTAGAGTCGACCTTAATGATGTGGATGGAGTCAAGCTTTCAGGACCTTCATTTGCTGATATGGCATGGCTCAAAATGAGAAGAAACAGCCGCAAACATCCATTAATAATTGGAACGTGGAATGTACAAAGTATGAATCTAGGAAAATTGGAAATCATCGAAAATGAAATGGAACGCATAAACATCGATATCCTAGGCATTAGTGAGCAGAAACGGATTGGTACTGGCCATTTCGAATCGGACAACCATGTGGTCTACTGTGCCGGGAATGACAACTTGAAAAGGAATGACATTGCATTCACTGTCAAAAAGAACATTTCAAGATCTATCCTGAAGTACAACGCTGTCAGTGATAGGATAATATCCATACGCCTACAAGGAAGACCAGTTAATACGACTATTATTCAAATTTACTCACCAACTACTAAGGCCAAAGATGAAGAAATTGAAGATTTTTACCAACTTCTGCAGTCTGAAATTGATTG